ATTCAAATGTTCTTGCTTCAAGGTAAAGTTCTGGTTAAATATCCCCTTTAATTGATTGAATCTACAGAGATATCTGCTGTGCCCCTCCCCATTTTCCTCTGCTTCAGTTCTGGGTCATGTAACAAAGTAGTGCAAATTTTATGTGAATATCATTTCAGTTTACATTCTAGTTACAAGAGGCAGTGGAAGTGTCTTAGAATAGTTACTAGAAGATCACAATTTCTGAGTCTCAACTCCCAAAAATGTGCCACACTATGACAGAAAGAAAAAAGAAATATAGAACATGACTGACAAAGTAAACAGAATGAAGAAACACAATTAACTTGATGGAAGTTAATTTCTGCATTTGTATAGGACAGAGGTCCTATCTCCCATCAATGCTTAGTTTTAGCAGAATTGATTCCCACAGTTTACACAATCCACACATGTACATAAAGCCACAAGGCCTGCCATTCTGTTGTTATTCTGTCAGTATGTAAAAGCCAAGAGTCTCTCCAGAACATCTGGGGTTAAGTATTTCTGATGAAGTTCCTTTTTAACAATTTTCCACTGAGATGTCAATGGGCTTGGCTCTATACTAGTTGAACACAATACACTTAAATGTCTCCTGATGTGCTCAGTCCACTGAAGTACAGTGTATAAACAGCATTTAAATTGACTCTTAATATCGGAATACAGAAAATCTAAATTGTGCAAAAAAGGGGCAAAAAGAAAGTTTAGAAAATTTGGAGTAACAATACTGTGTTCTGAACATCAGTAGGAAATGATTATTTACTATGTAAGGCATTATGGTTACTTATGTTCAGAATATGTTCATTAATAATATACTTCTGACCAATCCTCCTATCACACCCACTGAATATTAGTTACAATCATATGAAAGCAGACATTCAGTTCATTTTGTTGTGACCCTTTCTTAGAAAATTCATTTGTGACTGTAGGCTACAATTAGTGATATTTTCCAGTCCCATTAAATCCATGAACAGTAAAGGACAGGCAAAGAAGTTGAGGGAAACTACAACAAATTTAATTGCATATATAAACTGCATGTACTGAAAGCTACAAGGAGATACAACTAAAGTGAAAATACATAAGATATTTACATACTGTTTTTGTATACAATTAATGAAATAATGCTCTGTGACTTCTGAGGTCAGCTATTAGGAAGTGGATTTAGCAGGTCTCAAACTGTGGTGAACAGTGATTTTTGATTATCATCATCAGCAGCATTAGTAATTAATGCACTGGGCTAGTTCATCTGTTCCAACTGAGAAATAAAACAGATCCTTTCAACAAGTTTTAGGGCTTCTTATGTTCTGCGATCTTGTTGATTCAGTCTGAAAGTTTATATGGTATTCAAGTCGAAGTTCATTCTTGAAACATGTTGCCATACCAACTGATTTTGTAATCTCCAGAATTTTAAACAATTTTAAAATTTTGTCTGATTGTACTAATTGTACTAATAATCATGTAAAATGCGTAACTTGCTAATGGTCTTAATAATTTCATCTCTTAGGCCTTAATCCTTTTTTTCTGTTTTGTCACCAACGTCCACATTTCAGATCCACACAACAGTGATGAAAGGGTTATTCTTCTATAAAACTTCATGACTGTATCCTTTCTTATTGCCCTCAATGTACTTTTGTTTGGTGGCTCAATTACAGATTGTTGATTTATCCATCAAATGTGTTTATGCAATGAGTAAAACTCTATAATGAATAGAGACCATTTTAAAAAAAATACTCTCTTTTAAATACTGAGAATGATACTGTGATGCTAGAAGGCGAACGGAATTCCTCCAAGTGTCTCAGTATTAGACATTCTCAGTACGTTGTTTCACTGCTCCTAACACTTGCTAGAATTTATGTAACTTACTTTCCACATCTTTTATTTGAAGAAATCATGCATCCTAAATAACGGAAGAGCTGCCTCATTCTGTTACTTTGGTAGTCATTAAGACTTTAGTCCGCAGATGTTCTGTTCCTCTGAAGACAAATACTAACTTCTTTTTCAGAGATTGATAACTTGCCTCTGCTCACAACAATATATAATGTACAAAACATGTAAATTATCTTCCAAGTCCATGAATTCAATCTGATCATCAGCAGATAACGCATTCAAAACTTTACTGAATGATGAAAACACTCTGGACATGAAAGCAAGCTTTTAACACTGAAATTACAGCACAAAACACGAATATGAATTCACAACATTACAACTGACCACAATCTCTTGCATTTCCTGCATGCATTAGCAGCCTTCACTACAGATGTTCAGAAGGTATTTAATGACATTGTACCAATTACAGAACTTAGTGTTGAGTAAGCTCTGACAGCTCAGTGACTGCCCTGTGTACGGACAAAGAAGGTTTAATTCTCAGTGAAGTTGGGGATTTGTCTTTTGTCACTAAACTGAGTTCAAGCAGCCTTCTATCCAGTGGGTACTACAGGCTATTTCCTGGAGGTAAAGTAGCCAGAGTGTGAAGCTAACCATTTACCTCATCTATTGCCAAAATTAAGAATGCATGAAGCTGTACCTCCACTTTCTATGTCTTCATGGGGTTGTGTTTAATTAAATAATTCACATATTTTGTGTTAAGTGAGATGAAAGAATAACTGTAAAATGAAGCGGGGAACAGCATGTCATGACCTATATTAAGGTACCATAATGGGTTTTCGTGGATTCTGGAAAACCACGAAACACCTCAATCAAGACTGCTTGGATCCCAGCCAAGATTCAAATTGGATATAATTTCACTACACATTCTGACAGATATGCAATTATTGATATGAGTAGCTCTATTAATATGTACATCTTATTTGTGTACATAAGATCCATTCAATTCTCCTATTTTTTCTGTATCTCTGCCTCTAGTCATCCTGCTAAGCTATAGCACATAAAACAATCTGTCAACTGCTATTACATTGTTTGGCAATGGTTTTATGCACGAAGCAATCACTGTCATGAAAAAAGCCATGCAAAGAATGCATGCTTTTGCTGGTAATAAATTAAAAGAGTGAACGTTCAGTGTTTATGCAATAATTTCTGAACCCACTTTCAAAGGCTGTAATAGTTTTCTACACATATCCCTGCACTTTTATAATAAAAGGGAGCTAGGATAGCTCACTTGGTAGAGCAGTGGGCTACAGACTGAGAAGCTGGTGTCTGATTCCTGGCAGGGACAAGAGATTCTTCTCTTCTCTGCAGCATCCAGACCAGTTCTGGGCCCCACATTCAATGAGAATATAGTGGAGGGGGAGTCAAACTGACCACTCACCTCCATCTGGTGGTGGAGTTAATGGTGCACTCTTCCACATGACTTCATAGCATGCTGCTTAATTAATTAGGCACTGGGACAACTTCTTATACATAACACATGATCAGGGCCCTTCTTGTTACAGATGTGAGGCACTTGTACACTCACAAAGACTGAGAACTGCTACTTGATTCTATTTAATGCAACAGAGCTTCCATTTAAGGTTTCTCAGGTTAAGGATTTCCCACCCAAATCCTCTCATTTCATTCCCACCGTTTACATTTACATTTTCATTTATTTTCACTTCATGGATCCAACGACCTCCCCACAGGGCTGGATATAAAACATGTCACACATTACAAATTCATGATGACTACACATCATACGTCCTTGGTCCAATAAAATATATAATATGGCCTCATGCAGACAGCACAAGTTGTCAAGATAACACACTTAGGCCATGGAAAAACCACTGTCAAATTCACACCATTTACGGTTTTCCTCAAATCCTTAGTTTCCCAGAGAAATCTTATATTGGGTAATACGTCTAGTACGGAGAACCAAGTTCCATTCAACTGATGCTGTGCTCAACACTACTTGATAACATACTGTGAAGCAGAATAAACAATACATGGACACCCCAAAAAATAAGGAAATGCAAAATGAAATTAAACAGACAAGTACATCCAGATGGAGGCATTGATCATCTTACTGTATGAAATGAATCCACAAGATTCTTCCAGAATTCTGTGAGTGCCTCAACTCTCAGCATTAAAGAAAGGGTATCTCAGTCATGTGAACTTTTCTGTAAGATATGACACAAACTTTAACAGCTGTATGTCTCGCCACTACACGCTTCCAACTCACAGAACAGGCATTCAGATGGGCATCACAAGTCACTACTCTTCTGTAATGCACTACAACAAACATATACTTCTCTTTAATTTGTTTCTTCACAAAGTGAATGTGATGTGGAGGTCATGTGTCTGCTGTCAGTATCGGTAGCTAAACTGCTGGAAAGATTTAGTTAAAATTTCATATGGAAGACTTTCACTATAAACTGTTAGGAAATTCTAATTTTTAGCCATACTGATCCATAACACAAGCTAATTTGTATCGGGCCATAAATGGATGCTTTCATATACATCGCATATCATTTTGGTTATACTCTACGAGATTTCTCTGTATTATGCTAATCAGTCATTTTAACTTCTAGCCACAATGACTGTCTATGAAGCCTACTTCACACAAGGGAATGCATGATATTTTCCATATATCCCATAGGCTGTTCATGTGGTATTAATGTTCATGATTGTGGTATCCTGATGCAGACTCCACCCCATAACTGGCACAAACAAGGATATTACAACTGTTAACTTGAGCATCTCAGATCATCTCTCTAGCTCCTAGTAATGCTCCTAATGTTGTAGGATTTAAGAAATCAGTAGTAATTCATGAAACACTGTGTATCTGACAATGACCTCATCATGATCCAGTTTAGAAACCACAACATGTAATGGTGAAACAGCATTTTTCCAGTGTTGCATTTAAAGTTTTATCTATAAACATACTGCAACTGAATAGGCAAAAGGATGCTTCATTGTGTGTAGGCGGATAACACAAACTCAAGAAACAATGAATGCTTTGTACCACGCTCAAATAGAACACAATAAAACAGAAAGTATTGTACTCTGTTATATATTTCCATAAGGTGAAAATAACATAATTCTCCCCCCACCCCCACTTCAAAATTTAGGAATGTTTTTAATATGGATGCCTGAGACATACTGCTCATATTGCAATATACAAACATTCATTCTCTCTACACAAACATAATGGCAAGGTCTGACTCAAGAGGCAAGAATTCATGTAGCACATCAGAATGGTTTATCATCTACATTCAGTTACAGTACTGCAGTTTCTGAAGAATATTGGAATATAAAAGGAAAACAGGTCACATAAGACAAATGCCACACAAATGAAAACGGACTATAGTTAGCAGCATTCAAAGTACATGATCAAATGAAGGAGATAAATTATTTGTAGCCTAGAGAACAATACTGAACTCACACTGTGTTTTTATTTATCTGCTTACTGTTTGTCATTTTCAATATCTCAGACTGTATAGCACTGTAATACTTGGGAATTCTCAGACAACGGAAGAGAATTGTTTCATGCATTGAAGAACTCTTTGAATGTCTTAAACATAATATACAGCAGCTCGAGGAACTTCTGCACAATAAATGTCATGGATTTATTAACCTAGTCTTTGTTCTGTTAACCATCTGCCACGACAAAAGACGACTGCCAGATCTTCATGCTGATGGCACACAAACAACTATGAAGGAACATTTTCATTGTGCTATCTGGCAGTGTTTTTCAATTTTGTTCCTTACACCTCAACTAAGGAATATACCACAGTTGCTTTGGCCACCAGAAACTTCAATTATGAATGACATAAAGCACATGTCATATAGCAATTGTGCTGGCTCTTCCTCTACACAATACCTATGAGGATACACTTGTAACCAGTGTTTGTATCAAACATTTTCCATTAATATGACATAAAAAACAGCTTCCAAATTGGAGTGCTTTATGTGCAGGCCATCCCACCATCTAAGTACCAAGAGGGGTAAAGGAGAGAGAGAGAGAGAAACAGAGAGAGAAAGAGAGACTGCCCCTTCAATCATTCATTTGCACCTTACACAGTGTTTTCGTAAGCTGGTGGTTCGAGTCACCAAAGCATCCTCACGACACTATGCATGTACACGCACACGCTTACTTGTTCGCTCACTCACTGGCACCAAATACTGATGTGACCTATAATCAACGAGATGGGAGATACAGCTGACTGTATCTATCACTGGCTCACTGCTGGAGATTTCTTGTCTGAGTCCTGGCTGGAGGGTGTGTTGCCTTGGGGAGGTCCACCTACCCCTCCAGGACCCCGGTCTCCAACTGGCCCACCCACACTGGGTCCCCCCACTGGCCCTCCACCCCCCCAAGAATTGGGGCCACCCGTCATAGGTGAATCTGAGAAGCCATGGTTGTCGTGGTCCAATGAATTTGCTGCATCATACTGGGTGTTCTCCAGCCTTGTGATGAGCCGTTCATCCTCATCTCCAAACTCGCCTCCCATTAGCGACGGTTCACCTACCACCATCACATCCTGCCAGGGGGCACACAGAGCACATCTCAAAGGTTTCCCTGGTCCGATCTTGTCAACCACACTCGGTAGTAATGAAGAGCTACAGAAATTGGATCATGGAGGACATATCCAAAGGAGTTTGTATGTGATGGTAAAAGACACATACAAGAACGAGTATTACAAAGATTACTGTCTTTTCAGGGTTGATGCCATGTAAGCCGGTAGACAGTTACCAATGGTCTGGAGGAAATACTGTCTGCATCTTCAGGGTTGAAGGTGGAAAAAAGAAAGTTGTAAGGGTATAGGGACAGGGAGGATGGGACCAGGGCCCTGTACGAACCAACTGAAGGAGAAATAGTGAAACAGTGGCAATGATTTTACAGACTGCATGGCATCACATCCCACAAAAAAGTAACCTTCACAGCCTCCACAGAGAAAAATTCAAGTAGACATATTAAATGGGGCACGGAGTAGCGTTGTTGGTTGAGGCACTATGCTACAAGCCGGAAGGTCGTGGGTTCAAGTCCCGATGAGGTCATTGAATTTTTTCAGTTGACCTAATCCTTCCAGCCGTACTATGGCCCTGGGGTTGACTCAGCCCCTAACAGAAATGAGTACCAGGAATTAATTGAATAATTTTCCTGGGGAGTAAAGCGCAGCTGGCACATAAGGCTGACAACCTTACTGCCATCTTTGAGCTTATTGTCTAAATAATGTGGGACCCTCAACATCTCACAACCCTATGGGCAAGGTACAGGGACAGCTTTACTTTACTTTACTTTACTCATCAACAGAGTACAGGGCGCTATATCCCAGATGACAGAACTCTTCATAACCACTGCTATGAGGACCTGAAATCCTACAAAATATTTTCCTTTAAGAATGCGCTTTAGCATGTAGCTTTTACTTCTGCTGCTAGGTGCATGGAGCTGCATCTTGCAATTTCTTGGATGCATGCAGATTTTTTGCTACTCATTTCTTTATTGTGAAATTCTGCAAACCACAAATTACTAGGTGGGTGGGTAAGCCAAGTATAGAACTGCTGGAAGTGAAGTATCAATAGCATTTATGCATTTACGAATGTTTGAAGTTAATTTCAAGGGAGTTATCCTTCACAAAGAATATGCGCAGTTCACATTACCTGTGGCTAACTGGGATTGGTACTTACTTGTGATGCCAAGGAAAAGCTGGGTCCAGGAGACCTCTTCTTGTTGGGTGCAGGAGGGGCATTGTTAGCAGCTCCACCTGACTGAGAGCCTTTCCGTTTCCGCCGCTTGTTGGCAGGTCGCTGTGATTCTGAAGGCACACACAGACAGGCGACAATCGTAGAGTTAACATTAAGCAACTTCTGCTGCTGACGTAACAACTCAAGGAATCCCATTTGAGTGTGAGAATCATGTATACAAAAATTGTTACCCACCATTTACAACTGAAAAATGTGAATAAAAACAGATTAAAAAAGAGAAACCCCATGTTTTCAATATTAAATGTTTATGTTACATTCTATTGCCACATAGTTTTCTATGCATTTGGTCCTCCTTCATATTATCACTGCAAAAATGCACAAACTTTCCGTGAGTGCATTGTGTAATAAACACATTAAAATATAATGTACATCATGTCAGACCTTAACGTAATTTTAGAGGATTATACATTGTGTAAATTTTGAGGTTTTCATGGTAGTGACTGTTCAGATTATGGTCTCCTGGGTTATGAGGCCATGTATTCTTGCAGGCGGGTACCAGCATTTCATAGGACCATACTGCCTCCACGATGGGAGTCACAGTACACAGCGTAAGGAACAAACTGGGTGATACAGGCATGTTGCAAGGAAGGTGGTCACTCGGATCCATGGAAGGGAGAAGGGAGACAAAACCTACTCTAGCTCCACAGGATTGGTGAACAAGAAAACAGTTTTTTCCAGGGCCACAATACACTGTATCTGTGGGGACATCACGTTCCTCTAAAAGGATAATGTCCATCTACAACAATATGGTGCCAAAGTTCAGAAGACCACAATATGAGGATCACATTCGAGCACAGTAAATATGCCTAAGCGTCTTGTGCTACACTGACACAGAAATGTGCATGTCCACCGAGAGACGCAAGAAAGCAGATGCACAAAACGCAACTATCTGCACAGCACACATTACTTTTCGTCTTGGCCGAATTACTGACACAGACAGAGGCGCAGTTTCTGACTCATGCATCTGTGCACTACAGAAGAGCTTCAGCATATGCAAACAATGCAGTGAGTACCTACGTACATATACAGTTTGAGCATGGCGGCAACAGATTGCGTGTTAAGTTCTGTACGCTAACATTGTTCCCCAGAAACAAAAAATAAAAACAGAATTAAGGAAGTTCTTCTGCTAGATGTACATAAGAAACATGAATACAAAATGTGCCCATATGTTACACATCCATACAATGTACAACTGCAAAATTCTGGGATGGAATTCTTGAATATGTACAAGCGTGAATTGGGGGTGTTGTCTGATTAAAGTATTTAAGGTATTAACTATATCTGAATTAACTGGCTGACTAAAATTGTCTTGAAAATACATGTCAGTAAGTGAATTAATAATATGCATGTACATATAAGTCTCGAGTCCACACAGAGCTGCTTCTGGGTGCTTTCCCATTTGGTAACAGAGAACAGTACAAGTAAGTCAAGTTCCGAAGTTAGAAATGAAAATTCAGAGGTAGGAACACTGATATAAGCAAGTTCATTCATATTACAAGTCTAGAAATCTTGATGTATCTCAAAATAGCAGACAATCTGCCATTCCTTTCATATCTACCTCTAGTTAGTTATTTAGTTAGTTAGTTATTGGAGAGGGTGGGTTTCCCCATGCATTGAGACCTGTATTGGTCCATTGTGCTTCCCTCTATGATTTCTACCAGTCTCTATATCCTACCGGTACTGGTGCTTACCATCAGTCCCGCCCAGCCAGCGAGACCGGCTCTACTAGCTGAGAGGTATCTATAATGCTTCCCCCATCTACCAGAGGTATTAGAGACTGCTGTTGGGCGGGAAACGTCCGTAATTTGGCTCAGTGACCTCCTTCGGAGATATGAGGTTCTTTTACGTGCCGTAAAGCTATGACATGGGACCCACGGCTTAAAGTCCCTCCTGGAGGACTTGTTCCCTGAATTTTTCCGCCCTTAAAAATTCGACGACCTCCGCCGAGTATTTGAACCCGCGTACTACGAGTCATGAGGTGGGAACGTTACCTCTAGACTACGGAGGCCGCTTATATCTACCTCTATGAAAACATTAAACAATATATTTACTTGAACTAATCCTCGTACTCATTTCTCATTTGGGGAGTTTCTCCAATGTTCTGCATGTTTCACTACAATTAAGAAAAAAGTGTCCATAATATATTTTACAGTTGGCTCTTGAAACATTTTTGTTTCGCTGCAATGGGGCACTATCAGGCCGCAGCACCGCCTTTTCTGGAATGCCCCTAGATTTTAAGTACTCTTGCACATGTGGCATAATGTTACCATAAAGCCAGGTTTCAAAACTGGAGCAATCCATCTTGGCACCCCTTTTAATGAAGTGCCTGGCAGGTTTTCTTTTAATGCTAGACTTTACTGGACATTAAAATGGGCAGTGAAATTAATGGACAATCCTGTATACATAGGCCATGTGACAACCCTAAATCTGGCAGCCTGGGAGATACACATGGGTAGAAGTAATTTGATGCAATTTTGTGTGACAATGTTTTGCTCAATCTCAACATATACATCCACTAACTTAAGATGTAATTATCATGATGTATAGTACGTTATGAAAGTGAACTTCAATTCAAATGAAATTTGCCCTATGCTAAATTAATTAATTTTAAATAACCTTTGTCCTCAGCTTAACAAGGAAAATCTATTCTTTCAAAAACACCTTAATGGGCAGGTTTTCACTATATTTAGACGTATTACGATCCCTAAAACTGACATCCAAACCTGTTTCCTCAAGTGACCCAAAAAATCTATGTATAGAAGAAATCAAACACATTTCACAGGTGTCATGACACTGGCAACTCAGAGAAGAAAACATATACCCATTAATTTTATACACTCAATATTCTCCAGGACAGAAACGCAGAAAGTTCAGTAACATGATAAGTAACAATGCAACACTGACAGAAGAACTGAAGAAATGATACAGGAAAGCAGAATTTTGTAAACTGTTACACAAATAGCAAAATACGAATACAAATCATGTTCCTTGCTACAATTACAACCCCCTTCCAGCATGCAAACTCCATGCACCCTCAGAAGAACCAGCCAAGACGGATCTACCTCTCTTACCCGGCGGGGCAACCATCCTCTGCCACTTCTGGAACAGTGTTGTTTTGAGACAGTCTCGTGGGCTGAGTGCATACGCTTTATGGCGGGACATCAGCTCTTGCATTGGCTCCAGAATTACACACAGCTGTGTAAATGAAGACAGGAATGTTAACTGTTCTGACACACAAGCATCATCTTGCTGTGATTCTTCTGGGAGAGGGAAGGCAAAGAAGATAAGGAGCAGCAGAAGAAATTAAAAGATCTGTCTAAAAGTTCCTGTAATGACTGCGTGGAGTGCCATCAGTCATGCATGTGGATGTGCATGGCATGGATGATAACAGTTAGATAAGTAAATAAACTTGTTCTCCTACAAATCTTTTTAATGTTTTTTTCTATGGATGCAGGGATTATAACTGCATTTATTCGCTGGCTTGTTCTATTTTTGAGTGCATTAGAGCTGGATGAGAATTTTAATAATTCTAATTTCTACTCTTCTGATTCATACATATGTAATTCTGAACTTGTGACTCCTCTTTTCTTGGAAAACATACTTTATTTTATTTCAGACTATTCTAATTCATCTTTGATCAATTTATCTCCATCACATTCTCGTCCAATTGTTCTGTTACTTACTATTCCATGTAGGTTTATAAAAATGTAACAAAAAACACATACATTTCCTCATTCCACTTAAGCAGTCTCTCTCACATCATTACAACTAACATGCACAATAAAACTACTTTCACTTGAAAGAACATCCAAATTCCTTATCGAAATATATACCACTAACATTCCTCGTAAGAGGATGTAATCATAAATCCAATTACCATAATACCATAATTCATTCATCAACTTACAAGCCTTGTAAACAAGAACAAAATTTCTTAGCTACTTATGGCCCTTTCAACAAGTTAGTAACGCCTTTAAACCAGCGTTGCAGGCACTGAGAAATAAGAAATGTTTCAGGTTTGTTTAACAGTGCTGAACTGGTTGTGTTGGCCATTTAATTCATATAAATTATTACGGCTGTTAAGTTACCTACGTTATCGGTCAAAATGGAAAACCAACTGTAGAATGTTATAATTTAGGCCCTCAACTGTCTGTGGACCCCTTTCACCTCACTGAAACTCACCCTGAGGTAGTTGAGGGTGGAGTTGGTGATTCCATGCCTGGTGATGTTTTTTGCTAGTTGATCCAGCATGCTGGGGTCTTGTTGTGTATGCATACTAAACACTGATCGAGGAACCAATTCCCGATGCGATCGCACAGCAAAATGCCATGACTTTATCCGTGAAAGGTCATCGAACGTGCATTCAAGGATCAACCGACCCTCTGTACACACCTGAAATATCATGTCAAGACTTAATACATCTGATAGTTAACAAGTAACAGGATCACAATTTTATTTAATTTGAAACAACCCTATTTAAAGAAAACATAGAATTAATCTATAATTTTATATACAATAATAACTGTGCTCACCTATTGGGCTCACCTAAGAATGACTTGACTGCATTATGTAACTATCTCCATTACAAATTAAACTGACTGAAAGGCACTGAAGAAGAGACTTTCAAGATGGCTAACATAGCTATGCTATACAGCTTAGGGCCATCTTTTCTACAAATAAAATATACTAAAAAAATAAGAGCCTCATGAGAAATCTGGTGCTTTATATTTGTTTATAGTTACATATAAACTGCCAACACTTTAGTCTGTAACATTTCAGTTTTCACAGAAATGAATGTTTAGGTTGTGGTCTTTTGTGATGTGACACTATGCAGTTTTGTACGTTCAGAATATGGTGCTAGTATCTTTGAACTTGATGATGAAGATATCATGTTCCTGTGAACTGCTGTATCCACAAACAGAACTACATGGGATCACAACCCACAAGACCACAATCTGAATTTTAAGCTTTGTTTACATTTCTACATAACCTCAGAACTGGCCGATAAAATTACATTAAAATTCTTCAAACTCTTTCTTATTTCTTCATATTTATGATACCGCATTCAAATGAGGAATGAAACAATATAAATCGAGAATTATGTGAAGGAAGGATCTGTGGGACAGATTAATCGAACAAAATGGTACTTTCTTTTGTCTACTCAGAATAGGTTTAAAATTATTTTCAGAATTTAAAATAAAAGCTTAAAATGTACTATAAAACTTCTGTATGTGCATATTTTATATGAGATTCAGTAAATAAGTGATTTTAACTTTGAAGAATACTATCGTCTGGTACAAATTTACTGCTGTTCCTCCGTAATGTCAGTACATCTACCAGATCAGAAGGCATGACATCCTAGCAGACCATACTCTTCATAGACACCACCATGAAACCTCAGGTATCTGATATTCCGACTTTCATAAGGTAAAGCAAATGATACAATCCAAATCAGTGGATGTCCAGCGGCTGTCCAAATATGCCAATGTAATGCCACATAGTCCGGCAGATGGGTAGCAACACAGAAAATGAAAACTGTAAGTTTCCTGAACTACTGCTGGCCGTCTACCAGACCACATGGCATAACATCCCACAATAGTATTATACCACTGGTGGGTCAGCGGAAGATAAATGAAAACCCTCAGTTTAGGCCAAATACCAATGACCTTCCAAATATACAGAAGTGGTGGCCCGTGTAACTACACAATTCTGGCACATTCCCCTCACAGTTACCTTCTGAAAATGTCTAGATTCAAATACTGTCATGGTAGAAATACCTTAGTGAACATTGGCTTGCCATGATGCGTCACCATTGTGCACTGATCACAGTCCATTGTAACACTCGTGGTGTGGAAGGATTCCTTGGGATGCTTCAGGTTATAGTAGAGATCCGTCACGCCACCTTCAAAAATACTTCTGAAGTAGCGGGGGATGAGTGTCCTGCCTATTGCTGTAACAAATAAACTGATATCTATACCAGGAGTGTGTAGCTTTCTTTACACAGACACATACTAGAACAGGGAACATAGGACTTATGAAGGAAGAACTGCAACAATCCATATCAATGCCCCTATAACATTTAAGTAAAATAATGTAAATTCATATAACATGAAATATAAGAATCAGATTCCATAAAATCTAGTTCACTTTTATGACTCAGATCAACAGGATAAAACATGCAACAAGAACTGAAGGAGGCACAAAAGAATGCGGCATGTGGCAACATTTAGAATGTGGGTTAGAATTTATTCTTGTGGAACAGACACATAATTCAAAACTCCTTGAATGTCAAAAAAACAATGAACACACCCTTCACATTTGTACAAACTTGTCTTGCTTTTTTGTTTAGGCATGGTGATGACAGGCTCTTCCACTAAGACAACTGTTTCTTGGTTTCTATAATGTACCCATAAACGCATGTCTCTTGTGATTACCTCCAAAAGGAATTCTGGCTCTCTTCCAAGCCTCCCTTGAAGGTCTTGACATGTGCAGATACAACTCTCCTTGTGCTCCTCAGTCAGTTGGCAGAGCACAAATCTTGAGGCAATCTGACGCATGTTCAGAACTGTCTTTCAAATGAAATTCTCAAAGATTCAAATCTTCCAGTTCTGATCATCGATGTAGTCCTGAGCATCCGCTATCTTCAACAGAGGTGACACACTTCTGAACTTGGAAAACCATTCAAAGACTTGACCTCTTCCCACTGTTTGTTCTCCAAAACATAAGGTATTTGATGGTTTCTGTATCATTTTTCTCAAGTTTGAAGCAAAATTTGATGCAAACATGCTATCATTCAAGTCTACCATTTTCTGGGTACAAAATATTCGCACATGGAACAACAAACACTTGTACTTAGCAAGACATTACTTAACAACTGCATATGCTATAAACCTTGTTCCAAGCACGAAATAATTCAGCAGACTCCGCTCTATCTACATCTACAAGAAGTTCATGCTACTAGCAGTATCGTTGTCACATCACCAGTCCAGAAATTATTTGACTGCACCTCGTACATTTATCTAGAAACTCTGTGGTATAAGAATAACAAACTGTACTCATACTGAAACATGAAAACAATTCCCTGCGACTACATTACGAAGGGCACAGAATCTGAAATATGAACTTCTAAATGACTCCTGCAGACTGTAACATAAGATCCCTTACATTGACAGTTCACTCAAAAAAATTCCTCAAATAATATGGTAGAAATTTCTAAGATTTATATTTATGATGAAGGAGTACTTACTGTATCTTTTCGGTCCATCCTCTAAGCAGAACGTAAGGGTAAGCGTTGCTTCATCCTCAAAGAACTCTGTTGCAAAGGCATCCCACCAAAGATTGTCACTCTCCTGCAACATATAGATATACAGCGTGACTATAGCTGGGCTTCTGATTAGGGATCAGATTTACTGGACTCATTGATACAGAGCATCACTACAAGTGAGGATTATCCTCTCAATGTTCAACACACACTTAAAAATCACTACAGGACACACTAGGTTTTCTCAGTCCGTTACAGTCTTCACTAGTTGTTGCTTGGTAGTTGCTTCCAACAGATGATGTTCCCCTTCCTCTGGGTTCCCAAACAATCCCCAGCCTCAGCTACCAGCTTTTCATAGCCTTAGCTCACAAAAACAACTGAATCCTAGAATTTATCTATCTCATCAACCAACCTACTCACTCACTAACCCTGCTTATAATCGTCTTGGCACGGACGGTGCAGAAAACACCATTCCTCTATCGCAGTGAAATTCCTGCCGTGGAAACATGCTTATTTGCGGAGCCATTACTTAGTAATGGTTGCTGTATATGCTTATTTCGTGGTCACGGCATAGCAAAGGGTGTACATGCCACATTGCTCCCTCCTTAAAGCTATTCGTCCTGAAAAGCACGCAGGCATACTGCCATTTCTCCGAATGCTGTGTTTGTGATGTCTGTGATTGGTCTCACCTTCCTTCCCCATGGCTCGGTTCTCACGGTGATTCCTTAACTGCTCCCACTTCTCCCTCCTTAAGGCTGCTCATCCCAAGTGGTTCCATGATAGGATACAAACCAGTCCAGGTGCACCACCATCATTATATTTTCCAAGCGCTTTACATTGGACATCTCTTCTTCTGCTTCAGAGGCAGCCGACCCCTCCACAATATTCCCTCAATCACTGCCTGTTGCCAAGGTGAATATATGACTATTTGCTTCATGGCATCCAACTCGTGTGTTTCTAAGAGGGCCTCATATACTGTCTTCTCGCTTCCCAAATGTAGCTCCTGTCTCCTGCTTTGTCCTCTGATGCAGTTTCTGGCTGTCTTGCTAGGTCCTCTACGACTATGTTACTTGCGTAATGCAGGATCGGCATGGCGGGTCAACCGTCCTCGGACAGCAGCCACCTTCTGCCGGGACCCACCGACGCCATGGTTTCGTTTCTTAAGCTGTCCACGGTGCTGGTCCCCATATCAGTCCTCCAGTTATCCGACAGTCTCCACTTTCATCTCTTCTATACATGCTTACACCTTGATTTCTACTTTTCCCTGATTTTCTAGACAGACCTCTGTCGTCTCTAAACTGACATCCATCGGGGCTACCGTTCACTCTTGACTGGCCTTCACTGCGGAAATCAACTCCTCATGGTCAGCTTCTATCTTGCTTGGTGGGCATCCATCTGGGAGACAAGAGTAATTCAAAGGACCTCGAACTTCTAGCTAGTCTTTCTTGCTTGGTTTTCATTTCAGCCAGCATTTCTTCTTGGTTGGTCCCATCTTCTCCTGATTAGTCTGTGTCATTGCCTTCCTATGGCGGTGACCAAACGTTTGAAATCCGCTGTATGAATTTGGCCCTGATTTGCATGTATTGTTCACTGATATTAAGCAAGGTCACTATATGGCATACAGAGAACAACATTAAGGGAATTTGGGATTCCTAGGAAACTGATTAATTTTGTAAAAATTATAATCATCATGAAACAAAAAAATTTCAGCATATGCAAATGGTGTAGTATTTGGATGCTTGGCAAGAGTGCCTGAATTTTAAATATTTAGGTGCTTTTATAGTAGGGAAAACCGAATTCAGCAAAGAAACCGGGATGATAACTGCTGCAGGTAATAAATGGTTTTATGGTTCACAATATATGTGTAATGTGAAGCCAAGAAATTTGTGAACTTAACATCAAAAATTAAAATATACAAAACAACGGTAAAACCAGTTGTGGGTCTGGAGAATGAGAACCAACCAAGAACTAAGGGAATTTATAAAAGACCTCTGATCTGATAAGCAAGTAAGTAAAGCTATCCCTGTAACAGGCCGTGGAGGCCCATAGGGTTGTGAGATGTTGAGGTTCCCACATTTTCTAGACAATCGGCTCACAGATGGCAGCAAGGTTATCAGCCCTATGCGCCAGTCGCCCTTTACCCCCCAAAATATTCCAAGAATATTCCTGGTACTCATTTCTGTTAGAGGCTGAGTAAACCCCAGGGCCACAGTGCGGCTAGAAGGAGTAGGTCAATTGAAAAAAAGATCCAATGACCTCATCGGGACTTGAACCCGCGACCTTCCGGCTTGTAGCATAGTGCCTCAACCAACTATGATACCGCGTGACCCCCTTCTGATCTGATATGATATTGTCACGTGTTGGGCTTTCCACCTGTCATCAGCCCTTTTCTCAGACCTCATTTCTTTCAGCATTTCAATTATTAGTTGAATGTCTTGCTCCATTTTCTCTCTCTCTCTTTTTGTCAGGACAACACTCGATGTACTCGTAAATTCAATAATTCTTCCTAGATCGAGGCGTGTTTAAGTTCGTAGACACTTCTGACACCAAACTGTCACGTGCTGGGTAGGTCACACGACAATGTAGTATTAAAAGGAGAGGTTTGGAGAGGATGAGACGTGATCAGAACGGATCAAACAAGGCTAGCTAATACGTTGTTTTTTAAAGCCAAAATGTGCAGGAAAATGGGATGGCTGGAACATGCTAAAAGTGAACAGATTTGAGGAAAAGGACAAGGGAACAATGGGCATATCATACAGGAGGCAAAGGTTCTCAGAGGACCACAGAGTTAAGGAATAAGTAAGCAAGTGATCTCTTACCTCTGATCTTTGCTGTAGCCTCTTGTTAAGCTCGTAAATGCGGTAGTCTGGCTGGCCAAGGTACGGCGTATGACGCCTGGGAACAGGACAAGATCTACCAAATAAGTTGAAAAACAAAGCATTAACTCATGATAAATAATACATAACATTATTAAGTCACAGAGATAATCACGCCTTCATTTCACTTCACCCACTTCACTTTGAGTGGGTCTCTTGAACGGCCAGTCAACAAAAGCTTATGCATAGGCTGCCTTTCTTCTGTCTGAATGTTTCATCTCACAAATTACCAGAAGGATCTTAATGAAATTTCATTTTGGTAGTCTGCATCTATCGAAATGGGTGGTGGAACTGCTTACAGGACACTGTCACCTTAAAGGACACCTCTTCAAACTGGGACTAAGTAACAGTCCCACTTGTGAGAGGTGTCAAGAAGAACACGAAACAGCCACACATATCCTGTGTGAATGTGAGGGCTTAGCTTATTTAAGATTGCGTCACTTGGGTCAATACTTCATGGAACCAAGTGACTATTTCGACGCCCCCGCGTACAAAATCCTGTGCTTCATTCGAAGCGCAGGATTGCTGAGGGGATAATCAGAAGGGGAAGCACAACAGATCACTGTAGGTCGCGGTGCAAGGGCCCAGAAGGCCCACCCCTTATACATTCATTCTACATCTACCGGATGCAACACGCTGTTCGGGACGGAAACTCGCGTATTCTGGCGACAGAAGTCTTGAGGGCTGACTCTAACGGGTTTTAACTCGTCTTTGGGATGAGTTTTGGGAGAACTTCATGTTTCCGTGTGCCGGCTTTCGGTTGTGTCCCTAAGTTGAAAAGCGTTCAGCGTCGGGATGCCACGGGTCCAGGACTCTACATGCCGCAATGGTTCAGTTTCAAGTGACCAGTCAGATGGAAGTGTTCGAACTGGAATTATTCAGGGGACAGATGCGACGCAAATATCTGTGAGGACTCGTGTCTTAGGCATGGCTAGGGTCACACGTGTTTGTAACGCGCTCCCTAAAATTCTAAATTTCAGACTCCAGAACTGCACATCTTCGGCAAAGATCATTTGCAGTCAACCTGCATTTAATTCCTATAGACCCAAATTCATTAAGTGATAACGGGGTCTACTCAGCCTCGTGAGGATAATTGAAGAACTATTTTAAGGAAATAGAGGCTCCGGTCCAGAAAGCCGAAATTAACGGCCTTGGAGATTCGTTGCGCTGGGCACGCTACACCCTCTAAAACGCAAAATGTTGGCACTAAACTTCGCTCAAAAACGGCGGTCGCTCGGTCGGTATAGTTCGCTTGCGGACTAATATCACGGAGTTTTTTTTTTTTGTTTTTGTTTTTGATATGAAGAGTAACGAATTATTATTAATAAGTTAAATCCGGTGTTACCCAAGCATATTACGTCTCACTTCAAAGCTAGTTAAGTAGCTCAGGCTAATGAAAGTGTATCGAAAATTGCGAACTGTGACCGTTTGTGCTGGAAGATCAATAAAGCGCACCTTCTTACAAAATCAGTGTTTATTCAGCACCAGCCGCTGGAGGTATCTGTATCATTGCTCCACCAGAGCTGTGCTCCTGCTTCTAATTATCCAGTCATCCGAAACGTATCGGCCAGGAGGAAGCTACCTGAAGTTATCTGCTTCAAGACTTCATACGACCCCTTGCACCCCTCCCCAGCTTTATTACCCGCTTAAACTTCAGCCGAATGTGATACACCTAATTACACAATTAATTAACCGCGCAACAACCTGCATCTTTCTCTAAGTCCCTGGGCAAGACAGCAGGATCAAGTCTGTGTATATAAGCAGTTCAACCACACATCCCTGAAGCCAGTCAACCAGGGTCCAGTGACACGCACTAGTCCATCCACAGCCTAAAGCACTTCTTGTATTCCTGTTGTTCCCACTTGGAGCACAGTCGTACATCCGTGAAACGCTCGTTTCACTTCAGTTTCTTAATCTTAGACAGTTGGTAGGACTCCTTGGACGGGGATCAGCCCGTCGTGTTCGTGCGAAGACATTTCATGCCTTAGACCGCCCGGCCACTGCGATCGGCGCCTAACACACTACATCAAGATAAAGCTCCAATCCGAAGCCGACTGTACACGAAGCATTCTCAGTCTAACAGGAAAGCTGACACACTATTCCACAAGACAGTTACTGCAGACCGACTATGAGAGTTTACATATGCCGCCTAAGCACAAGAATATAGAAGATTAAGATACTACTGTGGTACATTGTCCAGCTATATCTACGCTTCTTGGCACTTAACAACGACCCTAACCTCAGTAAGACATTTTACAACTTAATATTTGTATGTGCGAATATATAGACATATTTTAGTTGTGAAAATGGATCAATTTTAGGTGCGGTTTTACAATCACGTACATACCCAATAAACCACCTATGGATGATCAACAGAAGGAAACACGTCGTGGTATGGTGCATAAACCACCAACGCGGCGCGGCTGCCGAGTCGCTCGCGGCCGATTATTCAACTGCAGTTCAGACTGATAACGCACTGACGCGGCTAGCCGCACTTTGTCGCGCGCGTCCGTTAGTTGTATTGGAGCATAACTCACTGACGCGGCTAGCCGCTCTTTGTCGCGCGCGTCCGTGAGTTGTACTAGTGTATACGGTGCATAACCCACTAACGCGGCGCGGCTGCCGAGTCGCTCGCGGCCAATTATACAACTGCAGTTCAGACTGATAACGCACTGAGCAGCTAGCCGCTCGTGTCTAGTCGCGTCAGTGGGTTATCAGCTTTACATGGTCAGTGGGGTCCAAGTCACCCCACCGGCCTCCTCGTGGTCCCCGGCGAAGCCCTGAGGGACTTACGATACAACACTGCAAGCTAGCCTGCCCTCAGGTGCTGGGCCTTCTGCTCTTCTGATATCGCGAAAGGGCTCTGGTGACAGCCTACTGAGGGTGACACTGTGACTCCTATGATGCAGTGGGATGGTGATTACGGTTTCGGGTGCCGGAACTCTGCTGGTCCCTGCAGCAAGGCAGAACGCGACCGTCGGCAGTGCTCTGCAGCGAAGGTGAATCTCTCGCTGCTGTGAAGGATGCAGATTTCTCACGCACTTTGATGAGGGTCCACTGAGAGCAAGACCGTAAGACTGGACGCGGGCCGGTAGAGAGATGCTCTTCTCAGAGCAACTGAAGCCTCGGCTGGAGCTCCGCTATAGGATCAGCAGACCCTGTCGGTGAACGACAGTGGGTGGCTAAAGACTTTCCGCCGTCAGCAATCCATGACAAGAACATCCTCTCGCACCGGAGGGGTCAGCCGTTGGCCCCAGTGCGGCTGAGAGGAATCAGCTTTCAAGGGTCTTTATCAGAGGCTCGTGAGGCTCAGTCTGAAAGAGGTTTCTTCATGGGGTGAACAGCCTGTCCATCAGGACAAGTTCGTCACGAAGTATCTCTTGTGAAGGAAACTGTGGGCCCGACTGGAGCTATGCTGTAGATCCAGCTGGGCAGCGAATGGCAGACGGTGTCTGGGACATCGTAGTGCCAGCAGCCAAAGGAAAAGGGCATTATGTCAATGAAGGCTGCTCCCCCATGTCAATTCTCAATACAGACAGACAGAAGGTCTCGAAATTGTTCTTCCTTCACACAACCTTTCCTTTTATGTTTTTACAGCCCTTTCCTCTGTTATCGATCGTCTTCTAGTACCTGGCGAAACCATGTTATTTTCGGTCGTCCCTAAGTATTTTTTTCCGTTACATTTTAATTATAATGTCCTTCTCGGAATCCTTCTTCTACCCATTCGTTTGACAAAGATGAACCACCATAAGCGTTTCTCTTAGTAATTCTGTTTACAAATTTTTAATTTCAAGTTCTTAAAAGAAATTTATTTCTAATCCCTTGTTGTTTTCCCTTTTTATACTTCTAAAAATGTCACATCCTCTGGCTGGCTTTTGTTCCTCTATGTCAGCATCCGCGTTTGGGCTCATGTGTTCCATGATATTCGTGTTATGTGATCAGGTCTATAACTTTTCGTGTCCTTATACTGATCTCTTCGTCAATTCCCCGTTTTCAGTTCACTTCCCAAACAAACAAAAATGTTGAAGTCGCCTCAGTTGGTGATACCCTGTAAAGGGCTGCGAAATATGTGCCGTTACAAAGGCCAGTACTTCGTAAGTACGCAATGATCAATTACCGATCTACTTGCCGAATGGCATTACATTCACAGTGTCATGGGGAAACAATCTGTGTAGAGACTATCGGACATAGGAAAAGTTTAATTAAATAAAGGCAAAATCAAAATAGAATTAACCATGTTAATAATATACAAACCTTTCTGAGCAGGATACAGCCAAGCCACTGGTACTCAAGAAATAATTACCGCTATAACATTAACGGTAATGGGACCTAACCTTACGTCTACTCTGGTAGCGTACAAAACTAATATTCAAAAGACTGCGTGTTCGATTCCAACCGCTGACATATTCAAATACAATCCGTGAATATAATGACAACCACTGACTTAAGCCCCCGAACACAGCATATGTTATAGACAATTTCCAACCTAATAGTGGTAATATCTATCGTATTAATGTCTGTAATCGCACCAGATGATCGGGCGAATATTCAGGACCCCGCATTTCTGTATCAAACAAACGCCGTGATTTTAGTCCGCAAGCGAACTATACCGACCGAGCGACCGCCGCTTGTCGGCGAAGTTTAGTGCCAACTTTTGCGGATAGAGGGTGTCGGGTGGTCAGCGCAACGAATCCCCACGGCTGTTAATCTCGGTTTTCTAGACCGGAGCCGCTATTTCCTTGAAATAGCTCCTCAATTATATTGAGGTTGAGTGGACCCTGTTCCAGACCCACTACCTCTCAGAAAATCTGGTAGCGGCGGGAATCGAGCCCGGACCTCTGGATCTGTAGCCAGGAACGCTGACCACTAGACCACAGGCATTTCTGTATCATGTGACAAAACTAGGTCCCCTAAACTGCCTCCAAAGTCAGTATTTATAAAATACTTATACAAATATAACTAGTGTCTTGAATATATGAGCGCACGTAACGGCTTTATTTCGAGTGATTAACGTGTCTGAAGTACCTGCGTGAGGGG